CACAGCAACGCACGGACGGGCCGGGAAAGGCGCTTTCCCGCCGCTCCCCGGGGCGGGGCTGCGCATGCGCGTCGGCGCGGGCCGGGCCTGGTTCTGGAAGGTTCTGAGGGGAGAGCAGCAGGTCCGGTCGTGTGGGGGGCCTGGGAGTTAGGGGATTGTTTCTTGTGCGGAAGAGTGTAAAGCTAAGGCAGCATGTGAAGGTCGGGGGAGGGCGGTAAACCTGAAAGCTTCGTTTCTTAACAGTCTTTAACTTTTTACTGTGCTGTTGTTTGTTGGGTGTTTTTACACTGTGCCTGTTAGAAGTGGGTTTTAGGTAGAGTGACTAGAGGAAAAGAGACAGGGGCAGCAAATTGGTTTTTTTGGTAGGAGTGTGTTGCTGGGAAGGCCCCTTTTACCTTCTGGTGTGTTTTCTCAAGGGTTTGGGCTGAGGGGCGTTGTGACCTCCTGCATCTTTGCAAGGTAAATAACCTTAGCGTTGGGTGTGGGATTTGAGCAACGTGTGTGTTCTCATTTCATTTTTTATGACAAAGTAGGTAGGTTAATATTAAATACTGTAGTAGAGTCAGCCTTGATGTGGGTGTGCTTTGTCCTTGATACTTAAATAGGACATTTACTGGTTTTGTATGTCTAAAACTTAGAGTTTAGGAGAGGTTATTTATGCCTCTCACATGTTATTCCTGAAATAAAAGTGTACATTTTTTATGTATCTAAGGCAGCCTTATGTCTCTCATCTTACAGTATATTATAGTGCAGTGTTAGACTGAGGTGTAGCCTGGGTGGTGTGCTTGTATCGTATGATATTAGGTAAAGCTTCTAAAATACTTTCAGTTGTTTCAGTGTCAAATTGTGAATAATTACTGCCATCTCTTAATAAAGCATGTTGCTACATCTTGCCACAGTGTAGCTGTATTGTTTCTTACTTAGCACTGACTTGTTCAACCGAGCTTTGGAAGTGGAAGGCCAATGTCTTAACTTTCCTCTCACAAAACATTTTATTAGGCAGCAGCTTTAGTGTGAATTATTTTAAGGAGTAAGCTAGAGCTACAGTGGTGATACTGTGATATCCTGCTTTGTGCCAAGATTAAGTGCAGAGTATTTCAGTCTGTAGGTAGTTTATTATTCCATTGTAATTCCTAGGTAATGTTTTGTACTATTGCAGATTAATGTAATGTGAAATACCAGTGAAATTCTGTGTTATGTTAAAATTGGGTTTAGCTACAGTTGGGGCTCTTTTGTGTTTTGAGTTTCTTTAAGGATGGTAAGCATTTCCCTCTGGTGTTTCTATCCACTTTATGTATGTAGATTGTAGCAACCTTTGTTTTCCATCAGCCTATTTTTGTTTGCCTTTGAGTGTAAGGTAAGTAACTACATACTGTAAGTAGGCAGAGGATAAGAGGTGTGTTTTGGTCTACTAAAAATAGATGTGATTGTTGGTAAATAACTGTGGATGGCAAAACCCAACTAGGTTTTAATATAGCACCTCATAAAGGAGGACTGGACCCTTTGTAAGTTCTTGTTTACATTAAGACTCCTGAGACAAATAGCAGAAGTTTATAGGTTTGTTTCAGGTGTTTGCTCTTTAGATATGCTTCAAAACAAATGACAGCTTTAGAAATTGTTAATCAAACTTTTGTTGTTCTTTTACAGTAGTGTTGAGGAGGACTCTAGCTGAGAAACATGGAAGTTGTGGTGTTAGAGGTATGTTGGCACTTTTTAAGGTCTTAGGGTTGCAGTTTGCTTATTTCAATGCCAGTCTCTGGAAATCCAATTTACAAATAAGGTGATGTCTCTGTATTTCCATTCACCATCGGTTGGGTCACATGGATTATATATTTTTTGTCATTCCTTCTAGGTTTTTAAATTGGTTTTATCTCAAGTCACCAGGGATGGAGCTAAAATCTCAAATGGAAGATATGGAACATAGAGTGTAGTACTAGATTCCACTGAACTTCACAAAAGATTATGGGAAAGAAATATTTTTCCTGGAACACAGCCAGGACAGCTGATGCCAAGTGACCAAAGAGATATTACATATAATGTGATGTTAGGCTTAGCAATAAAGTTGTGGGGAAGGAGAGGGAAAGGGACACGTCTCCGGTTACTAAATGTGTCTTCCCAAGTCACCCTTTATATGTGGTGAAGCCCTGTTTTCCTGGAAATTTCTAAACATCTGCCTGCCAATGGGAAATAGTGAATGCATTACTTAATTTGCTTTGTTTGCATGCACAGCTTTTCCTTTACCTCTTTAGCTGTTTTTACATCAACCTGTGAGTTTTCTCACTTTCACCTTTCCAATTTTCTCAACCACCCCACTGCAGGGGAGTGAGAAGCTGGAATTAACCTACAGTAATTGAGGACCTAGATCAACTGAAACACTGGCTAGAGAGCTATAAAGGCTGAGCAGAAAGCTATGACCGCATTTGAAAGAAGCTGGCTCTTGTGAACTCTCTTGATAGAAAAGCCATTGGTGGGCTTTGTTGTGTATTTTGGGTTGTCTTGTAGACAATATGGAAGAAAAAAGCTCTGTCTTTGCACAAAACCTGCTGTTTGGGTTAAGCAGCTTTTTAGATAATTCTACCAACTTTTAGACTATGCATAAAGCAATTTGCAGTGCTGAAGAAACTTGGAAGCTGAGAAGACATTTAAAGAACTAATGGTCTGAAGTTGAGTCATAACTGGGTTGTTAACATTCTATACATTAAGTATTGGTCCCCAAAATTTTTAAGATGCCTCACTGAAGATTTTAAGTTTGAGGGTTTTTGTATTTGCTGTTCAGATGTTCTTAAAAACATGCTGTTATTTTAGCAGGAGTTAATAACGTTTCTTACTGTTATTTACCCCTTGTGCCAGATTGAAGATCCAAGTTGCTTTTGGGTTATTATGAAAGGATGTGGGCCTTACGTTGTTGATGAAATAGATTATAAAAACCTGAATGCTGAAATGAATCAGTTCTATGACAAACTTTATAAAGATGTGGATGACGTAAAATCACTAACGGTAGAAGAAGGCCAGGTAAAATTATTGCTGTATGTTGTAGATAGAAATAATCTGTTATCTGTGTGTCTTTGGGAGTGAAGCATTTATCTCTTTTTTTAGTATTGCTATGTAGAAAGGTAGATCATATCTATAAGGATTATATTTCTCTATATGTAAATTTCATAACTACATAAGCTGCAATGCTTGCATTTTAAAAAGAAAATTGAGGGCTCTAAAAGCAAACTACACGCAAAAGATTTTTAAGAACCTTCTGTCTTCTTTTTTCTCTTTCAGATTTGTGTGGTTTTCAGCGAGGAACTCAAATGCTGGTGTAGAGCAGTTATTAAGTCAGTGATGCAATGTACAGATCATTATCAAATAGAATGTTTTCTTGTGGATTATGCCAAATATGTTTTTGTTAAATCAAATGAGTAAGTGATTGGGTTTTTTGTATTTGTTAGCTAATGCATACAAATACTATGAGTATTTTAGATGGTATGGGGCAAGGCTTTGGCTTAATGGAAGTGTGGGTTGGGTCTGCAAGGAACTGCTAGATGTATGACAGGCCCTTGCAGCTATGGATGCAAACTAGTCCTTGTTTTGTGAATTTATAAATGTGTTCTATTGTAGGTTTTTGATTTTGTAGATATTTGCAATTAAAATAATGGCAGTTTGTTATTACTGAAATGTATGATTGCCAGTTAATGTTTTTTATATCTACCTTGCTCTCTTAATAAGTGATTACCTGAAATTGAAAAAAAAAAAATAATTACATCCAGGATATAATAGCAGGGTTTCACTTGCTGGAGCAGCTTTTTGATGTCTAGGCACACGTATGTATGCATGATTTTTCTTGCTGTAGTTTACTAGCTTGTTTACTAAGAGCTGACAGTCTGTCTTGGCATAGTGCAGACGAGATGAATTTTCACAGGTTCCCAGGTTTTAATAAAATCACTGAGGAAAACTGCTTTTTCTCAAGTCTCAAAATGTGTTTTTGAAAGATAACTCTTGTTGCTCTTATTTAAAGTTCATTTTTCTAATAAGATAAGCAAATTTGAGTACAAGAAGCTTTATCAAATGGGTTTTTTTGTTGCTTTGTGGGGCTTTTTTCAGTATTCCACAAAATTAAGAAAACTTATTGAAAATATTTTAAAATAAATCTTAATGTTTTTAAATTGGATGTTGCTTTATTGGAAAACAGCTTGACAGTACCCTGAGTTTAAAATACATTTAGCTAGAAGTAAATGTGTGATTTACTGCTTTTTCATTGTAAAATAAGATTTGAACAAAAGTGATAAATATACGGATCTTAAAAGCTTCCTATATGCAAAGTCTTGCTGGTTATTGAAAGCCTCCAGCCAAACCAAGTGTAAAGTGTAAAGATTAACACTCTAGCGATAGTTTTATAAAGAATACATTATTTTTAGGAAAATGAGTACAAATGCAAATAAGTGTATTTATCGGATTTCCTACTTGCTGATGTTAATAATAATGGGTTTCTCACACAGAATGCAAAATGGAATACATAGTGCCAGGTGGTATATGTGGTAGTATGAGAGCTAAATATCATGAAAATACTAGATACTGTAGTGATGAAGGATGAGAAAGATTGCAAGTAAATAGCAAGTGCATTTGTATCCAGAGCGAACTTGCTCACTAATTGCACCTGATAGCATCTCTCTTGGAGAGAAAATTAAACTGTTTTCAGGGTGTGTGACTGTGGGAACTAAATGTCTGTGAGAACTGTGTTTTCAGATATCGTGAAATGGAAATATGAATGAGACCAGTGACTTCTGGAAAGTATGCTCTGTAAAACTGAATTATTTCTGCTTTGTTTTCAAGCATTCGAGTTGCACCAGAAGCATTTATGCAGATCCCATACAGAGCAAAGAAGTGTAGGCTGTATCGCACAAAGCCACTGACGTTGCATATCAACTTTTTTGAAAATTCTGCAAAAATGATGTAAGTAGAGTTTAATAGATTTATTCTATTCATCAGTTTTCTAAGTGTGAAGTTTTATTGCAGATTTTTTTTTTATTATGTTTCAAGAATAATGTAGGGAATCAGATTTGGAAAACTTTATTTCAGAGGAACAGTTCTTAAACTGTTTCCTTCATTATTTGCATTTCATTATTATCCTGTTTGAATCTTTTTATATTTATTAAAAACATTTGGAAGTTTAGACAAGTTTCTGACTGCCCTTACCTTTTGTCTGTGATCCCAGACATGTTTCTTGATTCCTAGCATATGAACTCCCTTAATAATCTGTCCTGAAGTGCTGTTTCTTACAGATGTTCATCTTACTCCTGATGCACTCTTTTCAGCAGCAGTTACATGCTTGGCTAAAGTTCTATAGCTGTTCATAGGTAGCTTTGCTTTTCCCTGTTCTGTCTTTTTTCTTGACGTATTTTTGGATTCTTGTTTTGCTTTCCTTTATATTTATGTCAGATTTTTCTCACTACAATTTTGAAGGACTTGACCAAGGTTTCCCTGGGGTCTGGTGGTAAAGAAAAATGCTTTTGTATCTTTGATTTCTAGGGTGTTATTTTCAGAGATCAGATAAGCTGAGAGGAACTTGATTAGATTGCTGTGAAATGTGGCTCCACAGCAAGAAAGCTACTTTGATTTGCATCATCAAGGAATATTCAAAACTACATTTGATCAAACAGTTTGATTTATTTTTTTATATACTCGTGTTTGGGAGCAGAAATTAGTATTTGATTTCCAGTATTCTCACAGAACATTTTTTGGATAGGAATAGCGTATATCTTGTGTGGGCCAATTTTGTGAATTGTTGAAGTAGTAGCTTGTAATATTTTGCTTACTGTGCTCTTCATCTGAATCTTTTTTATACTTAAAGTTGCAGAAGATGGTAAAGAGTAAGCTTGATTTTTCTGCTGGAGACCTTTCAGTCTTCAGCACTTCAGCATGTAAGTGCTTGTTCAAAATTGCTCAATACCTGTTTAATTACTGTGTTCTACAAGTGGATTCTTAAGTTATTTTTGGTGGTTGTTCTTCATTTCTAACAATCACATTTTGTGTTGAATGTAAGCCATCATACCTTGACAAAGCAATATCCAGTAATTTTGATCAGTTAATTTTATTGATGAGCTGAAACAACATGGTCAAGACTGAAGTTTCATTTTAAGCAGCAAGATTCTGCTAATCTGTCTAGTCCATGCACTCCTTAAGATCTGGCTTGACTTGAAATCTGTTAGCATGCGTCCAAAGTTTTTCCCAAAATTACCGTTTTAGTTTTTTGTGTGGGATAACTGATTGTGTTTCTTTTCCTAGACCAGCCAAAAGATGGGACAGTGCTGCTACTCAATATTTTCAAAACCTTCTCAAAGGTAAATAAAACATTCTGCCAAAATCATAATTGGCACTTTTATTTTGGGAAAAATAAACTGTTAGAGAAATGTAGTGCTGCCTAAGTTTGATAGCTGACTAGATGGTGTCTGGCTCTTGGACAGGCTAGATAAGGCAACACTCGCTTAACGTTTGTTTTGAACGGTGGAGTGTTTCTGTGTACTTAGCTTAAATCTTTGAATCAGCATCACAGCTGTCTTTTTGTAGTTTTGTACAATGGCAAGGTCTGGCTTACAGGTTTGAGTTGTTTGACAAGCTTACATGACAAGCTCAGAAAGGACTATCCTTATGTTTGTTAACAGATTGAGCTCCAAGTAGTTAGTAAGCTTGAACTGTTGTGGGTTTTTTTTTCCCAGTCTGTTCTTGTCCTTTTCCATATTTTTTATTTTAGTAGGTGATACAGTCTTTTTCATATCAAGCCTTCTAATTGTATGAGACAGCTTTTGATTGTACTAGAAAAGCACCTGTTTGCAGAGATTTTTCTAATCTTCTTTCTTACATGCTTTTATCTGAAAACCTTCCTGTCTGCTTATCCACAAATGTAATAAGCTTCACCTAAAAGACATTTCAGGAGGATTTTATGAAAGCTATAAAGGGTCTTTAACTAGCTAGAACGTAACACTTCTCATTTTTTCCCCACACACATCTAATGGTGACTATGCAAAGTAAAGGTTAGTATGGAGCAATAGTTACGTTTAATTTCATAGATATTCCCAGACTGTACTGTAAATAGTAATACTTACCTAGTTGCTGGCACCTCCCCAGTGTATGCAGAAGTGCTTCAGAATTTACCAGTGGATTTTATTAGCTATGTTTGTTTGAATGAAGAACCTAACCAAGCAATACAGGTGTGCAAACATAACTTCTTTCAAGAAAAAGATATGTCAAGTTTAGAAAGTATGTGTTTGTACTACCAGTTGTTGGAGGCTAAAAGATAAACTTAAGACTTTTAGTGTAAGACTAGCTTGTGTGAGGAGGTCTCAGTAATCTCTTTTTATTCTCAGACTTCCTTCAAAGACTAAGGAAAACTTCATTTTGTAACTTTAAAGTTTGTATTGCCTTGTTACTTGTTCCGCATAGAAGTTACTACATTATAATGGCTTCTCTAAATAAATTGATTATATAACTGATTTCTTGTTTTGTCTATGTCAGAAAGTGCAAATGGAAAGTACTGATCATTTGATAAGAGTTTAATCTTTTTACTTTTGATTATTACCACATTTAGCAAGTACTGAAATGAAAGCCAAGTTATGTGCTGTGGAAGGTAACACATTTGACATTTGGCTTTATGTCTCAATACAAGATGAAAAGGTAAGATAATTTTATACCTATGAACCTGTTCATGGATTTTGCTATGTAAGTTATAACTTTGCAATTAGTTTAAGGGCTGAAAAGCTTTACCTGCAACTGAGTTTTGTAATTTCTGTCAGATACAGTAGAAGATAAATTATTAACTTATTAGAAGGGTTTTTTTATATTTCTGTTGCTTGTAAACTTTTTGAGGAATTCCAGGAGGCAGAAATCCCATTTTTCTTTATGTAAACCAATTTTTGGAAGGTACTGATAAGCAAATGAAGTCCAACAAGTACTTCAAATGGACAACTGTAAAATATTTAGTGCACTTTTGCACCTTTTTTGCAGTATCACACTTAAAGATGTTTCAATAAGGCAGTTGTGCAGTATTACAAAAATAAATAAGTTCACAGTTGATTTTACATAAGACTGAATCCTCAAACCTTTGGAAGAAAAAAGATAGTTCTACTGTTGCAATTCCAATTACACAAATTAGTTACTTGGGCTAAATCTCTGATGTACCTACTATCAGATGTAAGCAGCTGTGTGGTAGATACAGGTTAACACATTTGAATGCTGCTTCCACTTGGACTGTTCTACCAAGGCTTTCAACACTGCAGTTAGTCTCTGCTATAGACAGTAACTCTTAAGTTACATAGTAATTTGAATTTCTTCTCTCAGTTGAGAATTCTAATTGGCAATAGTGTCACTGGTTTCTGAGCCAATGGAGCTTAAGTTCTAGGCTTATTATTACTTTTTTCTGCCAGATTTTGATACATGCTGAATTAAAAAGAAAAACCAGCTTGACTTATTAATGGGATGAGTTTTTTAATTGTTAGGACTCATAAAAGTTAATTTGGTACAGAATTTTAGGCAGAAACATGAAGCTGACAACTAAGTAACACTTGTTTAGAGACCATATAGGAAGATACAACTGACTTTCCTATTCTTGGAGTTAATCTTCAGAAGGCATTTGATTATACTGGTTATGTCTTATTAAAGCTTCAAATAAACTGAACAAGTATGTGGTGTATAGTTTGTTGCTTGTTGATACTGGTCAATAAAGATCTTGGTTTTTTAGGTGTGTGTTAATGATGATCTTGTCTCAAAGAACTTTGCTCATTTTGAAGAAACTAAAGAGAATACAGGGAGTTCTGAAGATTGTCAGGAGAACAAAACATCATTAAATCTTGAGTCTCTTCCAGTGAAAATTGTAGAACCTGCACTTGCTTTTAGGCCAGTGCTGTTTCAGGAGAAGATACCACCAAATCTTGAAACAGGTAGGGACCATGTGTGTTGGAAACAACCATATATGCAATGCATCATGTGTCTTTAATTGGATATACTGAACATGAACCTACTGAGTCAGTTCAACAATTTAATCAAATGGTATCCTGCTAACAAACTATGTTTATGAATCAGACTTTAAAAAGACCCATTGAATCATCAGATGCAAGAACACTGTGAAAATTTTTATACTATATATAAGACAAAGGAAGGCTTGAGGGTGATTTACACAGGCATTTGTTGATACGCTTAATAGCCTTAGATATGACTGAAATTACTTGTGGCATTGATCACTGATGCATTAATGGTTTTTTTTTAGTTGGGAGGGATTTATTTGAACAGATCCTTTAAAACTAGTGTTTACCACAAATTCTCTTATGGTGATTCAAGTATTTAAAAGGTATGCAACGTTCTATCCTCCGTCCTTTTTCATCAACATAGTTATCTCTATGTAAGGATAACTATTTTTTGGTGGGGTTTTCTTGCCATTAGGAAATTATACAAGCAACTAAATAAGCAAGTCACAACTCACTCCAAATATACTGGCTCTTTGTGTTCAGATAACTGGAAATGTGTTTCTGCATTTTTTATCTTTGTAGGTCTTGCTGTTTCCAGCTCCTTGCTCAAAGAGACATGGCAAAGGTTAAGCACAGATCTAAATGAAAATACTGTATCTGTAAGTATTATGTTTTCTATTAAGTTGTCAAAGATGAGCTACATTAAAGATACTTAGGACAGATTAAGAATATTGTAGTAATCTACCTTGTTTTTCCATGTAACAAAGATCTGGGGGACTACACTAATTCTTGATATTAAAAAGAATAATCTGTTTCAGTTGCTTTTTTTTAAATTGCAGAAATTTTTTTTAAAGTACTGCAGTCCTTAAAAAGAAGGCTGTGCCTCCTCTTGCACTCCTTTGCTATAGTTCTGTGAAGGTAACTGTCTACAATACACAGTTTTCTGAATATATAAAAATGTATACTGTAATGTTTCTCTGAAAACAAAGTAGTCCTTACGTTGTACCATGGTAAACATTCATTTGAGTTTCTTATTTGTTGAGTCATCTAATACTTTAAAAGTCTAATCTGGTTTCTTGTGGTTTTCTTTTTTTACTTGCTGTTCTTTTCTGAAACATTTTCAAAAGGTCAGCACTCATTCCTGAGTGTTAAGTGATGTACTGAATGGCACAGTTGGAGATACTGCAATGCCAGTGGCAGGAAAGGAAAATGAACTGATATATTGTAGGCAAATAATCACAGAGTAGATCAAATCTCAGATCTTTTAAAGAGCCTGTGTACTGTTCCATGTCTTTTTCTGCAAGATGCCTTAGAGGATAAGTTTGTTTCTGTGATAGCAGTGGCATTACTGCTTCTGTCAGGTCAGAGGGAAAAAAGAGTTTTACAGAAGCTGTGTTTTAACTCTACAGATAATTGAAAGATAACAACCACTCCTGAACTTAAACATTTCAATAAGTTATTACAGCTTTCAAAAGAATGGTAATGAAATCAGTAGTGAGAATTCATAATGAAGCAGAGTGGAATTATCTTTGTACCCTTCTGCAAACAGCTGAATTATCAGCTACTTGAGGGATGCAAGTCTTTGACCAAGTCATACCTGTTGATTTTTAGTGACTAGTGATGAACACTAGAAAGTCCCCTATTCAGGACCAGACATCTTTGGGGTAACTCTGCATCCAGTATCTGCTACTGTTTAGTCCTGTGAGGATTTGCAGTGTGTTATTTAGGTTCATGTGCATTGTCTTTGAGTGTGCACCTGGGTAACCTGGTTTTGTTTTTCCTTCTGTCTGTCATGTGCACGCTTTCCATTCTTTTCCTTAACTTTGTTTTAAAAATGAAAATGTTTAATCAGCATGTGTTCATACTAGCTCAGGTCCCCAGTTAAGGCTGTAGCTTGAGATGTGACCATTAATTTTTCTTTTGTCTGGGCAATGTTCTTGTCACATGCTTGATTCTTAGTAAAGAAAACACTGTTCTGTAACAAGTTAGGCAGTTTTCTGAAGTTTATTGTATAAAAATCATTGTCTTATTCAGATAAACTTATAATTTATACAAAAATCTCCAAAATGTTTGGACAATTATATAGTTAGGTAATAAAACCATTTCTGACTCAGTAGACTAAAGAAGAATTTTTCTAAAATGTTGCTCTTCAACAGAATTTTAGTGCTCAAAATGTGTTCATCTTTTCTTGATAGATCATCAAAGCAGTTCCAGATTTGGCTGTCAAGGAAAATGGAGTAGGTCACACAGACAGGTATGGTGCATCATGTTAAAAATTTGAAATAGATATGTGATCAGATAATGAGGAGCTGTAGTATGTTTCCAGTTACTATTCTTAGGCAGCTGAAAAGGTAGAGGATAACAGAAGATGCACACACATAGTTTTGGGCAAGAAAGGAATTTGAAGCTGCCCAAACTTATCTGGACTACAATAAAAATACTGGCTATTTTTTAGCAATAGATTGACAACAGAGATGTGATGGGAAAGTATATTTTCTGCACATGAAACATGAAGTTGTGTTATTTTATTCTTAGTGTGATCTATGAAGTTGTCAAACTTAATGAAATATGACTATGAATTCATTAGTGCAATGCTTCTGCTATGCTGCATGTCAGTTGATGCATATGACATAAGCCCCAGAAGTGTTTTTAATTCAGTTTCTAAGGCAAAGATCCATTGTTTAAACTTTAAGAAACCATTTCCTTATAGTCCAGTCTGATTTACTTCTAAAATTGAGAAGCCTACCAATTACCTTGTTAAAAAAAAAATATTCCTTAGGATTATTTTCAGATTCTTAAAGGCCAATACTAACTTCTGTTTTCAAAATGGTACTTTTTGATTTTTCGTGTTCAAGGGTTTTCCTCCTTGGCACAATTAATACATTAGGAGTATTTTGCAAAGGAATTGCATCATGACATATTAGAAATAGTTCTGGTATTTACATGTCACGTTTTACTTTTACGTTTATGTTGGATTTAGCATTTGTATGTTTCTCAGGCTTCAGCAGTTCTTAAAATCTGATCCTGTGAAGACACATACAAGTGAAGATGACCAACAGGTATTTCAAGCATTAATTTTCATTTAACTTGTGCAAAAGTATTATGTGTATGTGGAAAATTTTGGTACTACAGGGATGGCCTTTGTGGAAGGGGGTCAGGGGCTGATTCCAGGTGCATTAGCAACAAGAGGCCCACTGTGGGTCAAAGCTGAGCCAACCAACAGAGTTGGTGGTGCCTCTTAAAACATAAGAAAAGGCAACAAAAAAAAAAGTTAGAGGCAGTCCCAAGATCAGAGGAGTAAGAGATGCTGCATGCCAGAGGAGGTGTACCTGAAGGGACTGCAGTCTGTGGAGGACCTACAGCAGAGCAGAGGAAAGAAATGGGGGAGAAACAGAGAGAAACTGCTACATTCTGACTGCAGTCTCTGCTGCTCATTGCCTTGGTGGGGCGCTGATGGTAAAGGAGAGGAGAGGCGGTCAGGGTGAAGTAAAGGTGTTTTTATGAAGCGTGTAAATGTGTTTCTTTGCTTTTGTTTCCCATAGGCAAATCAGTACTCATATTAATTGGCAACAAATTCACGTAAAGTTGAGTGTGATTTGCCTACAGGAGTAATTGTTAACAACCCTATCTCTGTTTTGACCTATGAATTTTCTTACTCCCTGTTTTTTTGCCCCATCCTTCTGGAAGGGGAGAACAAGTGAGCAAGTGGCTGTGTGGGTGCTTGGCTATGAGCTGAGGCCAACCCACCACAGCAAATTTTACTATCTGTCTTCTTTAATTGTATTTTGATTGCGTTATAGCTGAGTGCTAGCTGTACACAAAACACCTAGTGCATTCCCTGGAGTGGATTAAGACTAGTGTTTAGACAGTCTTGATAAATCTTCCTTTAAAAATACTAATAATCAGTATTTCTCACCACTTGTGTTTTAGTTACCAGTATGTATGGTTAATTTAAAATGTATTTACACTTTTTTGCTAGATTTCATCAGAATACCATTTTTTTTTAAATATAAAAGTGCTTTTGAGTCATATGCAAGCTGAAACCCTTTAAGTATTGCCTTTGTTACCTATTTGTTGTATGGTTTCAGAGTTTTCAAGATCTTAGGGAAGAAAAAAAGTTCATCTTTCTAAGCAATAAAATTGAGCCATGGTCTGTTCTGGAAACAGCACCACTTCTTGATGGTCTGAAAAAGGTAATACTAATGTCATGTTTTGCATTGAATATCTTTTTAAGGCTAGTGTCATGCCCTAACTTTAGATATTAAATATTAGTACCTAATGTAGATTGAAGAATGTCTAGGAGGTTGTTCATGTGGTTGAATAAGTGAAGTTTCAGAGAGATGCTGTAAGAATTATATGCATTTCTGGTGTATCAACTGCTGACACAAGTCATGGGATTTGAATTTTTATTTAATTTTAATGCCTCAGCCTAGAAGAACTTTTTCATATTGCATGTTAAGGACACTTATTATGTAGTGACTATAAAAGCTTTTAAGTCAGCTGATGTGTTCTGGCTTGTGTTGTTAGTGTTCAAGTACACCATTTTGATGTAGAACTCTTACATTCTCTTTCTGTAGGAACTTACTCGGAACAAATTTTTGGGCCCTAACTTCACAGAATCTTACTGTTGGCCACCAGTAGCTCGAGGATGTGATCTAGTTGCTGTCTCATATCAAGGAGATGATCCTTTTCTATATATTCCACCAATTATTACAATTTTGCAGTTAGGAAGCTGCTACACAGCCTTTCCAAGCAGAAATGGAGTAGGTATTTATGAGAGTAGTTACAAGCTTTCTGTTTTAAACTGCAGTTGTGGAATAATGACCAAAAAGATAGTTGATATTCAGAATGTATACATTTAATGTGATTTTAGAGTATCTTTGTGATGCATGCCAGTTTGTAAGCCCTCTGCTTAGAGAATCACAGAAATGGACTCCATGAATGTGGGAGTCTAAAACTTGTTTATCAAGTAATATCTAACATGTCTCATGTCATACCACTTTGATACTTGCTGAAGCTTTGTTTTGGAGGGTATAGTGTGTAATCCTTAAATTGAAATTTGTGTTAGCTGTTTTAAATACTGTAATTCACTTTCTAACTTATTAGATCACAGGAACATAGAATTATTGAGGTTGTAAGGGAGCTCTGGAAATGGTCTAGTACAACCTCGAGATAAGATGCTGCTGCTTCTCTTAATTCTTTGCACCTTGTACAGTATTATGCTCTGTGCATCTTTTTTGTCTCCAGATAACCCAGTGTATGGTTCCTTGGGTCTAACATCTGCACTTAGGTGGTGATATGGTACTAACAGTTTCAGTTTTGAATTACTTAAAAGGCCTGTATTGCAGATTTTGTTTCTGCTCTGGATGCTGAAGTAGGATATCCTGAAGATTCTGAACTCTTGTCTCGTACTATGGTCTAAAATTTTGTCCATATATATGTAGCCACTAGCACTTATTTTATGTCCTGGGTGGAAAAAGGCACAACTTGTTTTTGACCTACTGAAAACATATGAGAAATGCTCCAGACGGCTTCATCCAATGTTGATAATACTTGGACAGAACAAAGAAGAAGCTAGAAGTGTGAATATCCAAGGATGTAAGAACACTTTTTATCTTTTTAATTATGCCTGAAAACAATGTTGGGTGTCTTAATTGCAAGAAATTGTGACAGAAGCAAGTTATACATTTTAAGGTTTTCTATAAAATGAGAATTCCATTTCTTTCATGCTGTAACTCTGTAATGATACGTGAAGTGGCAGTAGTGCTATTTAAGAGTAATAGGTATTAAAGCAGTTAGAAGATCTACATGGTCAGCATCTTTTTTATAAGTTTCATAGCAATAACATTTGAGCCAAATTAGTGGGCTGGCATTAATTCTCTTCATAGTTTGGTGATGTGTTCAAGAGCTTTTTTCCCATTCTGCTACCCAGTGAGTAGGCCAAAGGTGAGCAAGAAGCTGGGAGGGGACACAGCCTGGACAGCTGATGCAGACTGGGCCAGAGTGATACACAGTACTGTGTAATGTCATGCTCAGGAATAAAACCTTGAGAGGTGGGAATGATCTTGTAGCTGGGCTAGGTATCTGTCTGCCTGTGGGATATTGTCAGTTGTTGCCTTGGCATCACTTCCATCCCTTCCTTCCTTTACATATTACACTGTCTTTGTATAAGTTTCATCTTTAGAAGTGTCTCTCTTTGCCAAAGAAACAAGACTTTGAAGGATTGTGTAAAACTTTCCATTTCAGCAGTTCATAGTCCTACATCTGTCATTCAAGTTTGAGCCTGGTGGATGAATTCAGAACTTTTTTTGTAGAGCTGTTGGTATAGTTGCACAGTTTAAGATTGGGGGGGGGGTGTATATATATATGTACACGTATATGTGTGCAGGTATCTAAACTACAATGTGTTTTAGTCCATTTTTAAAACTTAACTTTTCTAAAGGCTGCTCTTGCACTTATTTAAATATTTACCTTCTGTCTGTCTGAAATAGAATAGAAATAGAATCAAAGGATCACTTAGGTTGGAAAAGACCTTTAAGATCAAGTCCAGCTATTAACCCTGCTCTACCAAGTCTAGCACTAGCCCATATTCCCAAGTGCCACATCAAGACAAATTTTAAACACATCCAGGGATGGTAACTCAACCACCTTCATAGACAGCACGATGCATCTGAAATGTTAATGTGCTTTTTTTATTAAAACTATGGTCCTGTGGTGTCTTGTTAATGTTAAGTCTTTTCTTACCACTTGTAGGTTTAGTAATTGTGACTACACCATATAGTCTCCTGAGACTGTTTGAACATCACAGTTCATTATTTTGTAGACTTTGCCATCTTGTTCTTGATGAGACTGAAGTACTGTTCTCTGATGCTAAAGAACAGGTAAATGACTTCTATGTTCAGATAATAAAATACTGTACCAGTTTTGCATGTGTCTTGAAAACAGTGTCACATACTGGAGGGAAAAAATGATTTCCTGAACTCCCGGAATAGAGTTTAGAAGAAAAAGTAATTTTAGAAAATCACACCTTTATGTTTCTGGCGAAACGAAACTCTGGAAAAATGGAGTTGTAATTTATTAAATGTGATTTCCCCTGCCTTTTTTTTTCTTTAAATCAGAGATCTGTCTTTTTCTACGCTACTGCTCCATCATGCCATCTTCCTTTGCACTGAATGATTTTTCAAAGGACTTGCATTATTTTAAAATTTGTGCTGCTATTTTCAGTGTGTCTTCAGTCTACTTTAAAGACTTGTATCAGTTGTCTGTAAGGAGCTTCCTTTTCTCTCTTTCCACTGAAGATGGAAGCGATTATTTGATAATGTTTGGAGTACTGTAGCTCTTCTAAAGCATTATGTTACAGAAAAGTTAAAAATACTGCTGCTGTGGAAAGGTTTAGTGCCAGGTTGAGAGAGATCTCAGAAGTGTCACAGATTCCTAGAATACTTCTTAGTATGGTAGTGCTTTGCCAGAAATCCTAATGTTGGTTCACAGCTGGAGTGCCTGTCACTTACATAAGGTGATGTCATCATGAATTTATTCTGTCTTAGTGGGTTTTATTTTTTGTTAATGACTCTATAGTGCACACATACAGCCTTTTTTCTTTTTTTTTTCTTTTTTTTTTTTTCCCTAGGCTTAGTATTTTTTAAGATTTGAACAAATCCTTTTCCTGATGTCTAAATCTTCTCAAAGCAGATCCTGTGTTATGATTCTGTGTGCATGCACACGCTGTTCCTTCATGCTGTCCTGTCACTTTCCTCTTGGTTCAGAAGTCCTTCAAATAATAGGATAAAAGTGCACAAACCAAACACTTAATTTTGGGATGTGGAAATTGTTTTGTTGTAGTGGTTTTGTGACTGGAAAAAATGGTATGCAGTGTATTTTTCACTGCTGTGTATTTTTCACTGCTGTGAATATTAATTGGAATAGGATAAGAGGATAGACTGTTGGTTTTTTTTCTTTATAGGTTTTTACTATATTAGATTGCTACAAAAAACGTGTTAATATTGAAGAGCGGGAATATTCACCACAACACATTGTTGCTGTTGGAACTCACTGGAATAAGCATTTAGTACACTTGATAAAGGAGTTCATGAATGATCCTTACATTGTGATAACAGCTATGGAAGAAGCTTCTGTCTATGGAAATGTGCAACAGGTAAAAATTTAAGGATGATGTCACTATTTGTTGACAAAGGTATTTTGCTGTTTGTAGTTATCACAGTCACTATACTTGGCTGTTGATGGTTCTTTTTAAGTGGGTAGTCAGTGAAAACTCACAGTGAAAATCATCAACCTTCACCTCCCAGGTATGAACTGAGGTAACCTGTGCAAATTAATCACAATATTAATGTGGGATTTTGATTGGTGTTGGATTTCAGCTAGGCTTCTGGAAGCTGCCTTAAATGCATACCTTTTGTGGGAGTTGTATATTCTGGAAGTTTAACAGATGTGCCACTTACTGGAGCTACCATTTACTGGATTCTCTTTGCTAATATATAACAATGCTTAGTACTTATTACAAGGAAGAGTTATATATTAAAATATATATAGGTCCCATGAATTTTCTGCTTTTTATCTACTAGGTTGTGCAGCCTTGTACAAGCAGTGAGAGAACTGCTGTGTTACTCAAAATACTGGATTTTACCCACAGTCATCTTCAGAAGGTGCTGGTATTCACTAACTCAGTATATGAAGCAGAGATGGTCCATAAGGTAAGAAGATACTTAAATTTAGGTAGATAAGTGGGTTTTTTTAATTGTTAAGGTATGACAAACTAAAATGTGTTGGCTTAGAATGCATTCATTACTAAATTCTTAACTGTGTTCTCTCTGTCAGGTTGGAACTTTGAGTTTAATCAAACTGGCTTTTTTCCATTAAAATTCTGTCCAGTTTTGTTTTTTACTGTTTCCAGGAGTAGCATGGGGATAAAAAATTTAAGCCACCATGTTAGGAAGTTCTGGTCTGTCACTTCCTACTCTGCAGAGGAATAGAGAGAACGCCTTGACAGTGGGAAAAGCCTCAATTGGAAATTGTACTTTTTTACATGTGTTTAATAATCCATAGGATCCCAACCTTTATTGTTTTTCTTTTTATACAAGATATTAATAAACTTTATCTCCAATCTCAATTTTTTATTTATTTTTTTCATATCACCTGAATTTCATTAGCTTTCCCTTGGTTCTCTTTCCAGTAGCTGTTGTATGCTAGTTACTAATAAAATACAGTATTTATTAGAATTTATTAGAGCAGTTACTGTATTGGAAGAACATAAAACTGTTTTGTCATCCAGGTACTGAAGAGCAATTCAATATTTTCCTTGAAAATACATGAAGAAAGCAAATATAACTTCAAGGATATCTTAGAGCAGTGGACAGGAAAGTATCAACCTGGCACTCATGTTGTGTTAGGTGAGTATTTTGTTTGTCTAGTTGTGATTATGTCTTCTTGGTGACTCATGTTCTACACTAAGTACTTACATTAGGTGATTATACCACTTCCACAGGGTCAGTTCCCTGTGAATTCTTTGTAGAGATACAGCACATTTGTTTTTTTTCTTGTTGTTCCTGGGTCCCAGGGTTAACTGCTGTGAGGGAAAACCTTACTTATTAGAGGGAACATAAGAGAGGGGTTTTGATGCATTAGTTCAAGGAACTACTAGTACTTTTGCAGAATTTCCATTATTTCACAGTGGTCTTCTACAATAGAGGATATTTTCAGTTTGAAATAATGTAGAAACTCTGAACACTAATAATTTCCCATAAGTTCTGGTTGAATTTTATTTTTTAAGGTCTTTGCAGTAGCAAAGACTGTTACCCAGTTTCAAACTATTTTTTTTCCATTTTGTACGTCAAATGCAATAAGGTTGACTTAATTACATCTGCTTTGTGTGTTCATACAAAGGTGTTAGCATTTCTGCATTACTTCAAGTGCTTTCTCTTACTCTTGTGAAGTACATTGCTGTGGGCAATTCTGTTCTGTGAAACAGATATAATGTACAGAATTCTGCTACATTATTAGAGACTAACATGAAATGCTGGCTTTGCTGTATGCTTAGGAAGTGTACTAACTGAAGAATGCAACACCTTTTGTAATACCTCATATGCTTGAAGTATCACAGTTACGAGTGTGTACGAAACGTGTGTTTAGTTTTAACAGATGACTGTGTGCAGTCTTTGGGAATCACTGATGCAACTTGTGTGATACATTTCAGTCTGCCTTCTCCAGGAGCCTTTGGTCAGCGTCTGCTTTGCATGTCTGACAACTTCTGTGACATGATAAAGGTTTGAGTAAATCCTTAATTTGTTAATTTAATGTGTGATTATTAAGTGGTGAATACTGTCTCAGTTTGAGCTTTCCAAAAATATTTATTTTTTTTCTTAGGATTCTTCTGTAGATCAGGAATGTGCCAAGTCAGTCATTCTGCTACCAGAAAACAATGCATGTCATGCACTGGGAATCCTGCACTATTTGCAGCACACAGAAGCTGAAATGCCACCAGAGCTGCATGATTTAATTGTCAAGATGCTAGAAGCTGAAGAAGAAAATAAATGTTTAAGGCCACTGTGTACCTATCTTAAAACATTTGGGATTTGCAAGTAAGGAAATAGTAAGTTTTCTTGACACCCATAATGATGCAGCATGGCATTGGATGCCCTCAGTGATGACTGCTGCTTCTTGCTTGATGAGTTCTTGTATTGGACACTTTTATTCAAACAGGTTTTTGCTCATGCTTGATTTTTGTTTGATTGTGTTTTTTTTCTGTTTGCTGTTGCACGTGTTTCACTTTTTTTGGGTACTTTTTATGAGAATAAAAATACTAATATTGTTATGGAAAGCAATCATACACAGTCTGACATTGTAGCATAATTCATTATCATTCCTGCCTAGATGTATTTGGGGGAACTTGAATCCAGTGTTTTGATTCTAACAAAAATTGCACAAGGTTTGTGTTTTACTGTGTCCCCTGTAATTTTCTGTCCCTCCAGAGTGGGTCAGTAGATTAATGACTTCTCTGAGCTGTGTGTGACTGAAGAAGGAAGCTAGTGTGTTCTCATGTGACTTCTACTGTATATAACTGTTCTTACAAGTAACAAAAAAAGTACACGATAGTGTTTGTTTCTTTGAAACAAGTTATTTGCTGTCTTTTGGGTTTTTTTATACAAACTTTGCCACCAAGAGCTGCTTGAATGTTTATGTCTAACCCCCAGCATCATTGATGCTATTTGACACAGAAACTGGGTATTGAGGGCTGATGAAATCTTAATGTTTAAAGCTGTTGTAAGTCACATCAAAACAGCTTAGAGCTGAAAACATAAGGCTTCTCTAATAAAACTTGTTTTAATACCTAGGAATAGAACAGTGTGTCCAGATCGTCATAAAATCAATTTACAAATAGATGTGCCCCAGAATATACCAGATAAAATGATACAGATGCCTCAATATGTGACAGTAAGTTGTTTTTACCTTGGGTTTGGGTACCAAGAAGACATCTTAGTAACTACTTAGTATATTCTTTATTTTTTCATATTACATTAACATTACAGTTGTATATATTATATATCTCTTAGATACTTGTTACTTTTTCAGTTTTTCCGTCTCCCCTACTTAAATAAGTTTGTAATTTGAAACTAGTGTTTTTATTGGCAGAATCCACATAAAATGGGATACAGCTTTTCCCTTATCTGCTAGGTAGAACAGTTATTTCCTACTAAGATGTTGACTAGAATATGGGCAGCTGGTATTAATAATCTTATTAATAATAGAATAATAATTCAAAATCTTCTGAAATAGTGTATACAGCAGCATCTCTTGTCACCTCTTTGTGCTGGAAGGAGGGATAGGTGGTCTTGAATATGAAAACTTACATGTCATTAATTTAAGAAATCATGCAGTCCTCCTTTTCTAATGGTCTTACGCTTTCAGATACTGCCTCTCCACATTGTAAATGCAACAAACTACTTTGGTCGAATAGTAGATAGACAAAAGGACCAGTATGCAATTCTTGCTGAAGAAATGAATGAGTATTTTAAGCAACCTAGTAATAAAATCTCTGTGAAAAATGTGGAGAAGCTGGCGTTTTATGGACTATGTGAGAAAACACTTTTTCACAGGTAAAAATCTTGGGTTTTTTAGATCATTCATGTAATTATACAAAGTAATGTAAAACTTTTTCTAAGTAGTTAAAAAAAAAAAGGCAACCCACCCCCAAACCCAGCAAAAAATCACTGCTATTCAAATTATTCTTTAAAAGGTATTACATTCTTTAAGTTGCCAAATAGAAGGCAGAATGACTACTCACATGTGCACACAAAATTAGTTGTTACCATAAAATACCATTTTTTAACTTTAAAAAAACTTCTTACAACAAATTATTTGAATAATAATGCTGTGTTTTCTTTCCAACTTGCATGAAGGGTTCAGGTGGTAGAGATTTCTCAGAGAGAGGAAGAAAATTTGTTCTTTAATGTCGAAATTAAATATATAGATGAAGGCAGAACAAGTCAAGTTCAGAGCTATCACTTGCTTCACTTACCTGCAAGGTTTCAGTGTCTGCCACCTCAGGCTGTGGAATTCATAGTCTGTAGAGTGAAACCCATTGATAATGAAATTGAATGGAACCCAGAGGTAATATTTATCAGATTTTTAATGGTATTTCCTTTAATTTCTTTAATTCCTCTCTGTGAATTATTTTCTTTAAAAAATATGTATGAACTGTGAATTGAGTTACCAAATTTCATTGCTTATTAGTATTATCAATAAATGTCTGCTATTGGGCCAGATTCTAAGTAGTCAGTTTTCTTGATTGTTTTCCTACAAAATAATGGAGTGAAAATTATAGTGTTTTCTTCTCAATGGTTTAAGTGGCTTCTTCCAGAAAAAAGTATTGCTGCTTTTGAATCTGTGGGGAAGTAGCAGGTAAGGGGTAGCTTTTGTCAATTGACCTGTGTTTGAGTATTCTTCCATTAAGGAAGCTTATTTCTTAAAGGCTAATATTATGTGAAAAACCTACAGTAAAGCTGGGACTATTTCAGTAGTTTATTCAAAACTGGTTTTATTTACTGAATAAACTTTTCACTGTTAAGCTCAGAAGATTGTTTCATTATAATTAAAATAATTAAAGTTATGCTGGTATATATGCCAAGTGAAGTGAAAATCTGTTTTGTCTAGGTAACCTCTTATATTAATAAAAAAATTAAAGGAAAACTCCATGAAGCAAAAATAATACAGACCTTGGGAAATACAGCTTGGGTTGACCCAATGGTAAGTATAGAATTTTAACATTGCAAAATAGTTTTATCTAAACTCCTTTACAACAAGACAGTTCTCATTCCTTCTGTCCGTTCCTATTTTTATTTTATTCTACCCGGTATTCATGTACAACTGTTGATTAATTTCCTGTGGTGGTGTCTGATCACTGAAGTAGGTTGCTCTGCAGTTGTAGAGCCTCCATCCTTGGAGAAGACTAGGATTGTTTACTTAATTGCTATCTTGGTTCTGTTAGATTGAACTAGGTACTCGTTACTTGAGCCACTATCACAATGAAAAGGTTGGTGATACTTTGAAAACAATTAAGCATGGATAAATACCTGGTTGAAAATCAGAGAAAATGGATTGCTTATAGGTATGAACTAAATGGGGATATGTTAAGTTTTACTGAAAGAACAGCTTGGAACTGGAGAGAGACCATTTAGGAAATGTAGTATCGATTTAGTTTTTTTTTTAATTGAAGGTCCGGGTTACCAGGCTTCCAGAGCTGAAGATTTCTGTCAATGAATACGATGTTCGATCTGAGATTTTGTCTACGGGTCTGGGAACTGACAATCCAGAGCATAAAACACAACTTCAGAAGTTGTGCAGAAACATGGAAATATCAGATTATGCACAGAACATGGAGTCTTTGTAAGTGTTTATGAATTTTTTCAGCGTATACTTTACTAGGAAAAAAATATTTAATTTTAACTGGGTGTTTTTGTGATTAATATTACTGAATGTGATTTTCATTTAAAAACAGGGACAGCAGTGTTCATGATAGGTCTGCTTTCCTTTAACTATTCTTAACTCAAATAACCATAATGGAAAAAAAAATACCAATTCTAGAAAATAATTAACTAGAATTTGATTCAGATAGTCAAGTTTATCATAAAAATATGTAGTCTGAATGCAAATTCTGGGAAAGCTTATTACAATCAGTAGTTTTTTTGAATGCTTACCGATCAGTACAGTAGAGCATGTTGTCAGTGTTTGTACAACTACAGAGTTAAACCTGGAAAATTTAAACAGTTTACTTTAAAAGGACTAGGACCATACTCTTAATGATTGTGGCTGCCTGATGGTTTTTGCAGTAACAGTACTGTACTTTTTTTTTTACTTCTAAACTTTTATAACTGAATTAATACTGTATGTGGTGGAAATGCACATATCACTGTGATCTGTCCCAGACCCTTAGATCCTCGATTTAAAATGCTTATGAGCAAGACAGCTGTAGCTTTTTTTGTTCTGGCCTCTGTGTAGCACATGGTTCAGGAGTTTCTTCAGCCACATCTTTCTCCATTTGGGGAGCTATAATTAAAAATAAAATGCTTTTGTCTGAGTAAGTTTTTTTTAACATTTACAAGGAAAAGAAAAATCTCAAATACTTTCTTTCAGAGAGTGAATACTGTTTCATAAACAAAAAAGGGTCCCTTAAATTACCAGCATGGGCACTTTATGTATTTTCTCAGGTTTGGGCAGGTTAATTAAGGCTGTTTAATTCTGTGTGCCAGTCAACAAGATGAGGAAGCCTAATGCCCTCTATGGTACATTTCCATCATAGATTGAGGTTCCTGCATTTCCTTCTAGAACTGTACCAGAGTTTAATCTTAACCAAAAGATTTTGTTTTACATGTAGTTTGTTCAACCCTAAAAACCAGTATTTGAGAACAGTGTTTGCAATGTTGATGCTTGGAATGCTTTTTTTCAAGTTGTGTTCCTTACGGAGGTCTCTTAGGCTTCTGCTACCTCAAGCACAACCTTTTTGAATGTATTTCTTGTTTCATGGTGTTAACTGAAGAGGAAGGTGGGAAACCTCCTAATGGTAACCAGAGCATGTAATGCCTGGGACCAGACAACTTTATTGCGAGCCTATGTGCAACCATTCCCTCTCAAATATGTGTAATGCAACTGTTTGGATGACTCGCTGTGCTTTGCAGACTTCCTAGGCCATAGCAGAACCAGAGGGTCATCATGCCTATCTCTGGCTGTCAAGTAGATTGACTCTGTTACAATGTTTCCTGAATCTTAAGTCCAGCTGTTGAAGTCCCTAACTGTACAGCTGAAAAGCCAGAGGTTTCTTACTACTAAGTGAAGAACTTTGAGTATCCTGAAGTCTTCACTTTTTCCAAGTTAGAATGAAATATGACCAAAAAGCCCCCAAACCTGTTGGAATTATTTGTGAAAGGGAATAATTTTCCCATCTAGATCTATCACACCCATTAAGGCCAGTAGATTTATTATTTTTTAATGATTCTAAGGAAATGCTTATGCCATCAGCATTTTAAATGTTCCCCTGACTTGGATTTCTGTATAATGCTTCTGAGTTACTGAAGTTCAGCAACCCTGTGATGAGAGTTATGGTTTGCTAGAGTGCATTTTTTTTATGTATTGGATTGAAAAACTTGAAGGATTTCCAGCTTTTATTACAAATGCTTAAATATTTAAAAATATTTTTAAAATGTCTCTTATGTGTTCAGAAGTATAAAGGAGGATACAGCTGGTCCAGAGAATGCATCCAAACCACAGAATATGTCTGTACCAGAAAATCCTACCGAAAACTGCAGTTCTTCTGAAATTACTTCTGGGAATAATCCATGTGGTAAATATTTTAATTTTTTTAAAATAAAATATTTAATAATTAGGTTCTTAAATGTCAATCTAAGATGTTTTACCAAATGCAGACTTACCTGAGTATACAGAATAGCACCATATTGCTGATCTTTGCAGTAAACCACACATACTGTATAGTTAGCAGCAGATGCTGTGAGAGTAAGCCATATTTGCTATTTGGGAAATGCTCTGTCCTTGAGAGACTCAGAACTGTTTGGGTCTGAATGGAAAGGGGAGCAGTAAGTCTCTCCTGTAGAGAGGACAAGCCTTTTGCTGTCAGAGGCCATAGGGTTTAAGGAAGCTGAAATTTGTTGAAGTATGAGGTGAATAACAGCATCGTTCTCTGGGAGATTCCCCCCCAGAATCCCCAGGTACACCCGCCAGGTATAATATGGCTTTCCTCCCCCTCCCCTTTTTAATCCAATGCTTAAGTTCACACTGCTGTATTCAGTCAGTAGAGTCTTAAAAGCACATGGCTTCGTCCATCATAGAAGAGAAACAGAGGATGATCTGGCAGCAGTTGGGACATCGGTTTGGGGCAAAGCTGAGTTATTAAAAAGTTGCAACAGCAAAAAGTCACATGAAGTTGTGGAGTTCTTCTCATGGAAGGCTTTTCTTTTTTTTCCCTGGTGTCTGTAATGCCATGTTTTCAGTTGTGATGGTAACATCAGTATTAGTTGTTTCATTCCTGAAACTCTTATTCAATCCCTGAAACTGTTAGTTTCTAAAATGAGATGTTTCAGGTTTCAAATAAGTAATGGCTTGAAACTGGAAAAACCTTCATCTGACCTGGAAAACTGTGTTGTCTGTTTTTTTTAATTCTGTTATATCAACGATAATACACCATTTAGTTAAAATTTTCAGTCAATAATTCAACTTTATTAAGTCTTTCCAAATAGAAAGTACCTAATCTAAATGCCAAATACAGTCTTGCAGTAGTAATTTGACTGCTAACAGGACATTTTTATGATGGTGCTGAGGTGTCTGGTTTCTATAGTATAGTTAAGTGTAAAAGACTTTTCTGGGTCTTTATTTCTAGAGGGCATAGCTCAAGCTAAGGAAACAGAAGACTCTACACTGCGTCAGCATAAATGGTACGAAACTGAGTTGTTCCTGTGCTTGTTTTTATGTGTTCTGCCTGTATGTGAGACAGCTTAGCTGAATACTTTTTATTTTGGAAAAAAATAAATCCAGTTAAACTTTCTTTATTTTAGCTTTTATCCAGAAATAAAATGGTTTCAAAATGAAGAGACTGTTACGGTGAAGGTAGGAATAACAAATACAACTGACTGCAAATACGAGTTCTCTAAACATAAAGTGGTTTTCAGGTAGGTTTAGGAAATTTAAGTATAATAAACAGTGTTTGACTGTCAGCTTGCGTTTAATTTTTTTTAACTTTTTTTTATAATGTAGTGCTTGTTCAGGAGACAAACTTTATTTGGCTGACATGGAGCTGTATCAAGATATACTTACAGAAAAGTCTACATGTGTCATTAAGGATAAAGAGGCTGTTCTTGTTCTTGTGAAAGAGAAAAAAGGAGCATGGTGCAAACTACTGAAGAGCAAGGTGAAGTGGACATTAATTTGAGAATTGGTGAATGTTCTGAATATATTCACTGCATCAGTGCAAATATTTCAAACTGTTTTTGTCAACAGAATCCTCATGTGTCTTTTGATTTTGAACACTGGGAAGATTTTCAAGAGAAAAGCCCATTTCCAGCTGGTAAGAAATTAACAAGTTGGTGTTTATAATACATGAAGTTATTAGCATCCTCATTTTTGCATAGGAGTTATCAGAAATACTTCAGTTATGTGACACTTAGCTGGCTTACTCAGATTCTCTGAAAACAAATGAGAGGACCTCCAATAGCAAGCTATAGGGAGCAGGGTAATTTTCTATTGGAATAGCATGAAAAAAAGTTTGAAGTAGTTCTTAATGTTTTGGCCAGTTTTGTAGTCTCAACTATGGGGGTTTTGTTGTTTTGGTTTTTGCTTGAATACTACTGCGTATTTGTTCTGAAGCTCTTGTTTTTTCTTGCTTTATAAATGTTACACTTTTTTAATTACTTCTAGGCACTAAAAAAGTGGATTACAATACTGCAGTAACCCCAGAATCTGATGATTCAGAAGACAGTGAAACAGAAAGTGATGAGTAATTTGGAGACAGATTTTCCACTGAGAACTGTTTCAAAATAGTGTCTCTTGCATGAGTATTTCCACTAAAATTGATAAAACCAAACATATAAGCTACAGAATTGTATTTAATTTTAGAATTAAAACAGTGAACAAAGTCCTTACCTTTGTGTGCTGAGAACCTGAAGAAATACTTCATAGAAAAATATTATGCATGTTTTCCAGTGCCTTCACTTTAAAATTGTTGGCTTTAATAATGTTGTGCACACTATGTGGGCAAATGGTAAGATCTAAAGATTAAGCTTGGGTTCTGAAACAGTTGAATTTCTTAGTAATTACAGATCTTTTAGTTTACTTCTCTGAGTGAATTTACTGTGTTAACAATAGTCAGAAATACAAATTTCCTGC